CCAGAATCATATGGGCCATTCTTTGCTAAATTTTTTCTCCCACAGCCAGCCTGCAAGGTGATCAGGCCTATTCCTAAGGACTAAGGACCTCAGGGGTTTCCCAGGAGACTTGAGGTACACCTCACCTCCCTGCTTGGTCTTCCCCAGAGAGAAAAAATGGAGGGAGGAAAAGAGGGAGCCAGCCTGGCAGCAGAACAGTCCTATAGAGCATCTGGGGGAGCAAGAATCTGGCTGATTTTTCTAGAAGAAGGAAAGATGTACCAAGGCTGGAAAGACGGCATTTGCTCACTGGAGGAATGTGAAAGAAGGTTAGGAAGGCTCCACTGTTCTTTCCTGTCTGGCTCACAAGAAATGTGTAGCAGGCAGAAGGGCTGTGCCAACAGAAACAGCCCTGGAAACCTAGCTCCACAATGACTGGTTGTGTGACCTTGGGCAAGTCACTACCTCCCTGAGCCTCAGGAGTCTTCAACTCTACAATGGGGACAATAAACTTACCTTGCACAACTGTTGTAAGGATTAGGAATAATGGGTGCGGAGCCCTCACCCCAGGTCTCACACAGAGTAGGAAAAGAATGAAAAGGGGCTGTGAATAATCCCAATAGGCATGGCTGTCTGTGGGAGGAAGATTTGTGCCTAATTTACGGACCACCCATCTATAGGCATCTATGCCAAGGTCTCAAATGCCCAGGGTAATGGTCATCTCTGGTGCCCAGAACACCTTCCTGGATGGGAACGGAAAGCCAAGGGTGGTGGTTTTGGTCAAGGCCTGCGGTCAGTAGGGCTGGCATCTGCTGAGTCAGGCCCAGGAGAGCTGGCTGGAGGGCCATTTCTCTCCCTAGCACACTGATGCTGAAGGGAGGTTGGGAGGGGAGCCAGAGGTCATTTCCTCTGACTCCACTACCATTCTCTTCCCAGAGGAGCTCTCCTGGAGGTCAGGGCATCTCGATGTGGCACTGGCCAGCCTTCGGCCAACCTGCATGCTACACAGCACAGTTTGGGCTTTGTGCTCAGAAAAGAAAGGAACAGGTGACCTAGACCATGGGTCGGGGCGCTCCCATCTGGCCTGGGCTTCAGCTTCCCCAGGTCAGCAATGTCCTTTCCTCTGCCCCTGCCCACGCTGCTCCCACCCCTTCCTGGAGAATGGTGGCTTGGAATGAGGAGCAGGGACCCATCAGCAGCCCAAATCGCATTTGGCACATGCCCTGGCCATGAGGATGAGGGAGGGATTCGAGCTTCTTTCCTCTCCCCTGGTAAAAAAAAATACCGCCTCTGGGGCACCCAACTCGGGTTGGACCATTTCAAAGGCAGGTGGTTGGTAGTGGCGGGGCCCAAACCCAGCCTCCATGCTTCCTCCTGCCATGGCAGACCAGGGCTCCCCGACGTTTGCAGCCACCCCAGGAGTCCTGCTGCGAAGACTGCAGCCACGTGGGAGCCAGATCTTGCTCCACAGCGCGCTTGCCCCCCCACCCCCACCTTCGATAGGTTGTGGAGGCAGGCACACCCAGATGGGCCAGAGGGGTAAAGTTCCCCCACCATGAAAGAGGGAGTCCCCCGCACCCTCTCTCCCACTGTGTCCTGGGGTTGGAGCCCCGCGTGGGGTGGGGGAGGGGTGGGACAGGGTATAGCTGCCCCGCGTTGCTGAGGAGCGCAACCCCGTTGCTGTGGCAACCGTTTCCAAGCGAACTGGTGGCTGCTCGCGCGCTCCGGTTCCCTCGCTCACTGGTGCTCTCCCTCCCTCCCTTCGGTGGAGGCTGGGGGAGGGGCTGGCCGGGGCAGGGGTCCAGGGCGACGACCCGGGCCAGGGCGGGGATCCGCCTGCGGAAAGGGGGCCTGGCCTTGGGACCATCTTCCGCCCCCACTCTGTGCCCACCGGCTTGCTGCCGCCGCTGCGGTACTCACGGGCCCAGGCATCCTCCTTGAGCTCGTCCTCCTGGCTCCGGGAGAGAGCGGGCCCTGCAGACAGAGCCCCTGGCCGGGGGGGAGGCGACGGCAGCCCCGGGGAGCAGACTGTAGCAGCCAAGGCGGCTCGGAGAGGGGCTGGAGCCTTGGGGCGCGCGCACGGGCGCGTCCACGGCGCGTCCAGAGCCCGGCGTGCGCGCGCGCGGCCGCCAGCGGAGAGCGGGGGGCCCCCCCCCCCCCCCCCCGCGCCTCGCAGCCAAAGGCGGAGGACCTGCACCCACCTGCCGCGCTGGGCTCCCCTTGCACAGGGAATGCGCTCACCACTCCGCACACCTTCTGGCAAAAGGCTGTCTGGGCCTGGCACACGCAGGCAAATCCAGTGCACACAATCGGCCGAGCACACGGGATGCTCAGCCAAGCAGCTGAGGTCCAGACCCCTCACACAGACCTCAGCCCAGAGAGCACACGCACCTCCAGGCCCTGGTCGTGTACTGACAGGCACTGCATACACACAGTAGGCAGAGGTTGGAGCAGGCAGGTACCCCAATGTGTTCATGGCCTCCTCCCAACTCAAGGCCTCTCCCACTGTGTCTCCAGCAGGCCTACAAGCCTACATCACCACATGTCTACTTAGAAATAGCAGAAGAACCTAGTGCTGGATCCATAGTGTGGTTTCCATGGAACTTGCTTAACCCCAGCAACTGAACCGAGCCCTAGTGAGGACCCAGCTGTCTAGGATGAGCCTGAACCTGGTTGTCTACTAGACTCTTAACTGGATTCACTGTTTCTTAGGGGGGAATCATTGCATCCCAGGGAAGTCAACATGGTGGACCTATGAACCCAAGTGCCCTGCTCAGTGGACAGATTTCCTTTCTGGTTATTTAGACTCCTTGGGTTTGGAGTCGGGCTCAGCAATGCAGTCCCGTAGCATCTTCTCTCTGGGAGTTGTGCCCTGATGAGAATGGGGTCTGTGACTAAGACCCCAGTGCTGCCCCAGTCTGGTTCTTCCTGTCGATCAGCTTCCCCCACATCCTTTTTTTGTTTGTTTATTTTTAAAGAAAACACTTTTGGCCCAGCCGATGTGGCTCAGTGGTTGAGCGTCGACTCATGCACCAAGAGATTGCCAGTTCGATTCCCAGTCAGAGCACATGTCCAGGTTGTGGGCCCAATCCCCAGTGGGGGCATGTAGGAGGCGGCCAATTGATGTTCTCTCTCAATCAGGTTTCTCTTTCTCTCTCTCCCTTCCTATCTCTAAAAGCAATAAAGAAAAAACAAACAAAAAAACATTTGCCCAGTGGGTGTGGTTCAGTAGATTGAGCATTGTCCCATGGACTGGGAGATCCCAGTTTGATTCCAGGTCAGGGCACATGCCTGGGTTGCAGCTCGATCCCTGGTAGGGGGAGTGCAAGAGGCAGTAGATTGATGGTTCTATCTCACATCGATGTTTCTATCTCTCACTCCCTTCGTGCATAGGGGTGGAAGAAGGGAATGACTGGAGTTGAAGCCAGTGAGACACAGCTATGCAGGACTTTGAAAGCGGTGTTAAGGATGTGGTACCTCATCTGCAAGGCAGTGGAAGGGTGCCTGCCCAACATGTACAAAAACACCCCAAACTCTCTCTATAAAAATGAATAAAAACATATATATATTTTTAAAAATCCTCACCTGGGGATATTTTTCTATTTATCTTTAGATAGAGAGGGAAGAAGGGAGGGAGGGAGGGAGGGAGGGAGGGAGGGAGGGAGGGAAAGAGAGAGAAACATTCACATGAGAGACACATCGACTAGCCACCTCCTGCACGACCCAACCAGGGCTGTGGACGAACCTCAACCAAGGTACGTGCCCTTGACTGGAATCGAGCCCACAACTGGTCCATGGGCTGGGCTGTCACTCTAATCACTGAGCCAAACTGGCCAGGGCAATATAAACATATTATTAAAAAACAATTTTAAAAAAAGAAAAATAAAACACATCTCTCTCTCATTTCTTTTTTTTGGGGGGGGGGGTAACCAAATTTTTGGTGGCCTTGTTTCAACAAGGCTGAAAATAATAAAACACTTTCTAACTTGCAACCAAAGACCCCTTAACAGCCCCACCCAAATTACAAAGCTCTAGGTGTGTGTGTAGTGGGTGCAAGCCCAGCCCCATATAAACCACATGGGCTGAGTTCAAAGGAAATTTGGGGTGTTTTTGTACATGCTGGGCAGGCACCCTTTCACTGCCTTGCAGATGAGGTACCACATCCTTAACACCGCTTTCAAAGTCCTGCATAGCTGTGTCTCACTGGCTTCAACTCCAGTCATTCCCTTCTTCCACCCCTACGCATGCTACCCCACATTCAGCTATCCTAAATCACTAGAGGCCCTAGACTATCCAGATACATCTGGTCCTGTGTCCTGGAGGGCACCAACTCTGACACCTTTGTGGCCAAAGGGCCTTCCCTCCCCAGTCCCATGGCGGTCCCAGCCCTGCCAGCTCTTGAACTAGCCCTGCCATATTGTCTGCACTGGATCCCACTGTTTCCATGTCTACCAGACTGAGCCCCAAGCTCGCTGGAGTCTTGTCTCTGAGTCCCCAGCTCCCTTTTCAGAGCTGGAGGTAAGCTTAGGAAAGGCTTGTTGGGAAGTGATGCTGCGAGTTTCCTCTGCCAATGGTGCACTGTGAACTTTTAAAGTAAGCTGAACTCTAGCCAAGAAGTTTCCTGGATGCCTCCCTAACCCAAGGGGGAACTTGGTGGGAAGTCTGGACCCATTGCAGGTGGTGTGTCACAGGGTCCTTCCTGTACACTTGGAACTCACTCACACCTGCTGAGGGCTGAGCTTCAGCCTATGCATGCTGATACCTAACTGCCCTTCCTCCAGAGCCTGGAAGGGCAAATGCACCTTGGACCCCAACCTCATGAGTAAGATCCAGTTTCATCTTTTTTTAAATCCTCACCCGAGGATATTTTTTACATTAATCTTCAGATAGAGCTGGAGGGAGAAAGGGAGGAAGAGAGAAAGAAACATCGATGTGGGAGACACATCAATTGGTTGCCACCTGAACAACTCCAACCAGGGCCAGGGACGAACCGCAATTGAGGCATATGCCCCTGGCTGGAATCGAACCTGGGACTCTTTGGTCTGCAGGCAACGCTCTAACCACTGTGCATACTGGCCAGGGCCAGATCCAGCCACATCTTTAGCTACCTTCCCCTACCTTGCAATAGCCACTGACCAGCTGGAAGACCTTGGCAAGGCCCTCTCCTTACCCTGTTTCCCTCAAGTTAATAGAAGAAATAGTGCACATTCCACTGTCCAAGACCTGGGACAGTCCAAGAGGCCCCATCTGCTAAGCTGTTGCTTGGAGCCTTCTTTCTGGCTGCCCTTAAGATAACTGTCAGCTTGGCACCCAGCATCCACTCCCCAGACAAGCAAGAGTCCTGTCAGTGCCCTAGGGGATCAAGGTGAGGGCTGCTTCAGTGGTTTCTCATAGCCTCCTTGTGAGGCAACTGATATCACACTCATCATTCTAGACAAGGGCCTATGTAAAGCCACCTTGAAAAGTGACCTGGCTGGAACTTGAACCCAGAACCAACAGCAAAGCTCATGTGGCCTCTATGGCATGGGGTACTCAGCCCAGAGGCAATGAACAAATCTTTATGATGGCAGGGCATTGGAGGGTGAAGAGGTGGGGATGGGAGTGCTGAGGTCAGTGGGAGATTAAGGAACTGACTGGTCTGTTAAGTCTGGGACAAACTTGTGGTTAACAGGCTGCCACCTCCACCCCAAGTCTTTGCACAGGTGAAATGCTATGGAATGGGATATTCTCCTACTCCCTCTGCCCCCAGCTGAATGTCTCCTTCAAGGCCTGGCTCAACTTCTATCTCCAGAAGACCTTCCCTGATGCCCACATGCCTCTGCTACAGCCTAATGCCCAGTATCACCATTGCCTCATCTTTGCCTGGCCACATTTCCTGCCTCAAGGGCACAGCAGAGGGGTGTCTCTAATGCATGTGCACTGGCCCTGGGCCAGGCACATGGCACATGTCCAGGGAAGACAGAATGGGCAGGTGTCTCTAACAGCAGCAGCTCCCATCTCACTCCCTAGGCTGCTCCAAACCCACAACTGATGACCAGGCCACCTTGGCCTTGGAGGAGATACTGCCAGCTGAGCCTGCCTCTCAAGCACAGGCACAGCCAGACCCACACCTCAGTGGGGACCCATTTCCCTCAGGCTTCATCCATTTAAAAAGCTGAGAAACCCAAAGGGTGAGCTCAAAGGCTGCCAAGTCCTGAGTGCTTGGAGAGGCTGCTCCAAGATCAGCCCTGGGAGATCCTAGGCCTTCCTGGAAGGGCAGCCCCAGCCAGGCCCACTTCTGATCCCTTCCCACTTCCAGCAAGGCCAGGGAAGCAGGAAGACTGTGGAGCACCAGGAGCAAGAAAGAGGCAGGCAGGGGTAACTGGCTAGCTTTGTGCTCAGACTATATTCACATAGAGACACATGGCAGCTTACATTGGACAAAATGAGTAATAAAAGTTGGCTTTAAATATGGAAAAACCAGGGTCCTGTAATCCCACGCTACCCCAACACTGGGACCAGGAGGTCCATCCAGTCCTGGGAAGGGCTAGGGTGGGGTCTAGGGTATAGGCACACAGCCTCAGCCTGCCCCCTTCTCTCTCTCTCTCTCTCTCTCTCTCTCTCTCTCTCACACATACACACACACACACACACACACACACACACAGAGGGAGGGGTGGATTATTGCTGGGCACATGTGTCTATTGTTATGAGGGAAGTCTGGAATGTTTGAAGGTTGGCCAGGGACACCCCCCTCCTCCACCTGGGATGGGGCGTTCCACAAGAGGTGTCTTCAGGACAAGGTCCAGTATGAAGGACAAGGTGCCCTGGGAGCTGGAAGGCAGAGGCAGACCCATCTGGGACAACCTGGGCAGTGGACTGATGGGTCCTAGGGTCAGCCCAATCTCTGGTCAGACTTTGGCACATGCCTCATGTCCAGCTCTGACCAGTGCTGAAAAGGGACAGCATTGGGCTGCAGAGGTGGTGGCTTGAGCCCAAGGCAGCAGGGGCAGGTAGGAGTCTCACTCAGAGGTCGGCGGTGGTGAGCACAGTGCTGGGGGCTCAGGGGCCTGAGGAACCTTGAGTTTGGCGGTGGCCCCTCTGCCAGCTCCAGCGTGGTTCTTCAGAATGCTCTAGTCGCTATATACATTCATACAAATACATAAATACAGAAAACCCCGAGCTCCACGGAAGAGCTGAAGGGACGCACCTTTGTCCCAGGGACAGCCTAGGCCTTGCCAAACTCAGCCAGACCAGGGGCTGAGGGGCAGAGGACATTGGGGACAGCTCCGGCTGTGTTCCCCAGGCCACAACTTGAGTGTACAATGGGGAGAACCACTGTGCAAAACTGTAAACAGCACTTGAAGTAGCTGCTACCGCCAACCGCTGATGGGGGCCTCGGGCTGGGGGCTAGAGGCGGGTGGGGAGCTCTTCTTCACTGTCGCTGCAGTTCCCACAGCAATCCTGGAGAGCAGGGAAGACATGGAGGGAGAGAGGCAGAGCAAGCGCTGTTAGCCACCAGTGCTATCACTGAGTGGCCCTATCAGGGCAGGCCAGGAACTGCCCAGGGCCATGCTCTGGGGAGGGACCCCCCACGAGGGGCCTGGAGCAGAGGCTGCCAACTACAGGTTGAAGTAAGGGGGACCAAGTGGAACCCAGGCTTTGCCAGGGCAGGGCCCCATCCAGCTGCTCTTCCCTGGGGCAGGTGGAGGCAGGACATGGGAAAACAGATGGCTAAGCAAGGCTAGCAGCTTGAAGGTGTCGGGGTGCAGGGAACAAAAGCAGTAAGGAGGGGAAGGTAGGGAGCGGGCACCAGACTTCTTTCTCCCACATCTCGCCTCTGCCATGGAAGGACTGCCCGTGGCTCCCCGTGGCCAGGCAGCAAGGCCAACCCACGGGGAGCCTACACTGCTCACCTCTGGAAAGAGAAAAGAGGCCATGAGCCCAGCCAGGAGTGGGGGACAGGTAAGAATGAGGCCAGAGACCCTGGGCACCACTGGCATGGCTGAGGGGAGGCCCATTCACAGCACATGTGGGCACTGATTCAGCCTCCCACCCACCGTCCCCTGGAGCAGGGCTGGGGGCCCAGGTAAGACACTACTGGGGGTTACCTGGCGACTGAAGAGTCTCTGCAGCAGTCCCTTCTTGGGGGGTGCAGGCGGCTGTCCCTTCCAGTCCAGGTCCGGGGGAACTGAGCCGTCCAGCCCGAAGACATTCAACTCCTGGAAGCACTCGGTCTCCACCATCTGCCGTAAGACAGGCAGCTGTGAAAACTGCCCCAGGGCTGCCCGCTGGAGCCCACCCCACCAGCTGGGCAGGCCTCACCCTCACCTCATTCTGCCAGGGGATGGGCACACTGCCTGTGGCAAACTTCTGGTAGAAGTCCTGGTCGGTAGGCTCCAACTCCACACCCTTAACCGTGGAGAACTGTTCAATGTCCAGGACATCTTTGCAGTAAATAGCCTGGGGCTGGGGGGACAAAGGCAGTGGTCAGATAGGAACACCAACCATGCATGAGAGGGCAGCTTGGCCCTGAGAATCACACCGGTCTTAGCCTGGTTGTGCTCTGCCCCTTGCAGCTCTCTGGTTTGGAGTCAGAAACCAGCAACCCATGTACTTCCTTGACAGTCCTTTCCCTCTGAGGCTGTTTCCCCTCTGTAAACTGGGGATCATTCTCCCTCACTGACCAGCCGGTAAGAGCTGACCCACCAGAGCCAGCAGCCTTCACAGTGCCCAGTGGAACCACTACCAAGTGCCCCCTCCATCTACACACAGCTATCTGGGTGTGCAGCTGATGAGGTGAGCACCGGCTGAACCTCGGCAGGAAACTTGCATGCAGGGCCCAGAGCTGAGGGGTCCTGTCCTAGGATGTTCAACAGCTTGCTCCATCCTCTCATGCCTCACAGCCAACCACCTCCCCAGCACCCTGCTGGGAGCCCACCTCACTCCAGAAGGTGATCTTCTTTTTCATCATTACATTATCTTCTAAATCCTACTATCAGGGATATCAATTTAAAAAATCATATAAAATAGCCCTGGCCAGTTTTGCTCAGTGGTTAGAGAGTCGGCCCACGGACCGGAGAGTCCCAGGTTCAGTTCCCCCTAAGGGCATGTACCTCAGTTGCAGTTTGTCCCGGGCCCTGGTTGGGGTCGTGTGGGTGGCAGCTGCTCGATGTGTCTCTCTCACATCGATGTTTCTCTCTCTTTCTTCCCTCTCTCCCTCCTGCTCTATCTGAAGATACATGCAAAAATGTCCTTGGGTGAGGATAAAAACAAACAAACAAACATCACATAAAATAGTGCAGCTGCTTTGGAAAACAGTCTGGTAGTTCCCCAAAGGTTAAATATAGTATTACCGGATGAGCCGGCAACTCCATTCCTAGGTGTATATCCAAGAGAACAGAAAACCCATGTCCCCACAAAAACTTGTATGTGCATATTCACAGCAGCATTATTCACAATAGCCCCAAAGTGGAAACAACACTAATGTTCGTCAACTGATGAAGACAAAATGTGGAATATTCATATACTGGAATATTGTTCAGTCATAAAAAAGAACCAATATATGCTACAATAGTGAGGAACCTTGAAAACATTACGCAAAGGGAAAGATGCCATTCACAAAGAATCACATAGTGTATATTTTCATTTATATAAAATGTCCAGAATAGGCAAATATATAATGACAGAAAGATTGGTGGTTGCGCCCTGGCTGGTTTAGCTCAGCAGTTAGAGCATCAGCCTGTGGACCAAAGAGTCACAGGTTCGATTCCAGACAAGGGCACGTACCTCTGTTGCGGTTCATCCCAGGCCCTGGTCAGGTTGTGCAGGAGGCAGCCAGTCAATGTGTCTCTCTCACATTGATGTTTCACTCTCTCTCCCTCCCTCCCACTCTATCTGAAGATAAATAGAAAAATATCCTGGGGTGAGGATTAAAAAACAAAGATTAGTGGTTGCCAGGGGAAGGTGAGAATGGGGAGTGACTGCTAATGGGTACAGGGTTTTGGGGTTTTGGGGGGAGAGGAGAGATAAAAATGTTCTAAAATTGATTGTGGTGATGGTTGTACAATTCTGAATATGCTAAAAACCATTTAAATATATACTTTAAAATAAGTGAATTGCATGATATATGAATTAAATCCCAATAAAGCTGTTAAAAACGATACTGCTTTTCACCTGCTACTTCTAAAAAGTTCAAGTCCAAGGTACTGATTTTCTAACTCTCAATGAAAGACTGGGGTCAGGGGTGGTCTCAGGGTTAGAGGAGATGATGTGCACAGGAAGCAGGAGGGACAGTGTAGCCCTGAGGCAGATGCTGATGACAGGCTCAATCACCCACAGCAATGCCCACATCATGGAGCCAGTGAGGCCTACACGACACAATTCTTCAGGGGGAGCAGCCCACTAGTGGGTCTCTCACTTTTACTCATCTCCTCTATGGCCCACCTCACACCTCACATTCCTGCTCAACATTCCCCAAAGGCCCCCATCACACTCAGAGTAAGACACACCTATCACACTGGCCCCTTGAAGCTGTATCATTTCTTGAGGCTAGTCCCTGTCCTAGGACCACACTGCCGGCTGTTCCTTTTCCCTGGAATGCTCATACGCTGAATCTTGGCAGGGTTTTTGCCACATATTTTAGGCTTCTGCTTAACTGTCAGCTCCTCAGAGACCATCCTGTCTAAAAATACTCCTCCCACCCCCCATCATTCCTTATCTTCTTAGCTTGCTTTATTCTTTGCTGCTGCACTTCACATTACCTAAAATGTCTTCACTTACTGATTTACACTGGTGTGCTCTCCCACTAGAACATGAAGGCAGGACCAGGTCCTGTTGACTCCATATTGCTGAGCTCTGGCACATTTGGGCACTCAGATAATTGTTGAATGAATAAACAATCGTGTGTGTGGTTGACAGCTATCAACCTGGTCTGCCTATCACCTTCCTGCCTCCCCAGTGTTCCTGGTGAACACAGGACCCAGGTCTCTTCCACATGGGAGAAGAGCAAGCACATGAACTAATCTTGGCCAATCAGAACCTTCCCTGTGACTTCATACAGAGAAGCCTGAGTTTAGTGGGAGGATAGTCAACAGACTGAAGTGGAGCCAAGAGAAGGGAGTCCTGGCCCTGTTCTCAGACTTTCTGGCCAAATGAACAAACAAACTCCATGTTGGACATAAGTAAGTCTGAGTTGGGATTTTGCCATTTGCAATCTGATAACTCAAGGATATTCCTGCATGCAGGATGCCTGACTCACTCAGATATCAGCAAATGGGTAAGACACTACAAGAGGGAGGGTTCTGCCCACAGATGGAAGGTTAGCCCTTCCAGGTGTGGTGGGCAGCTGATGTTATGCCAGCCCAACAGCCCTTCCCCCTGCTGTTAATAGCATCTTGGTTTTTCTTTGGGGAACTGGTCTCTTCCATTGGCAGTGCTTCAGGTAGGTATATGATTCGGGTGTGGCCACAGAGGAGCCCCTGAATAATCAGAGGCAATGAATGTCAGCCTTAGGCCTTTTATCCTCCCTTTCAGGACTTTTGAAATTATTGGGCAAGAGGTACTCTTTATCTAGTGGGTAGGATGTGGGTTTGAGCTGCTGGGCTCACCACTGCCACACCCTGGGGAGAACCTGCAAGTAAAGACTACACAGTGACCAGTACACTGGGAGGGAGAGGAAGAGAAAGAATTCCTACAACATGGTTAGAGCCCCAGATGGGGCTTTTCATTTTTGTGAGCCTAGGGAATTATCTGTTTTGTTGGCTAAGCCATCTGAGTTGGGTTTTCTTACATTCAAATGGAAAGTGTCCTGACTTCAAGAGCCTGACAGCCCCCACCCTGGCTTGGTCCTGCCTTCAGACGGGTGGCACTCACATCAGGCTTGAAGGGCGGCTCCAGCATGCCTGCTCCCAGACGCTTGAAGTTCAGTTTCTTGAAGAGGGGGTGCTCCTTCACCTCACGGGCACCGCCCCCACGACACCCTAGCCTCTCAGCAGGGTCCTTGCAAAGGAGCTGTAGAAGGGGAGGGGCAATCAGGGTGGCCTTGGGAGACCGAGCTCCAGCCCGGGCCTCCCACTGGCTACTGTACCTGGGAGCAGAGTGAGTGGGCCTGCGGAGAAAAGCGCTCCGAGTACTCTTCAGCTACCTCCTTCACCAGCCGCTCCACCTCCTCCCGCTTAATCTTCTTTTTCCTCTGCTGAAAGGGTGACTGGCCTGCAATCATCTCGTACAGAAGGCAGCCTAACGCCCACCAGTCTGGGCTGAATGTGTACCGTTCGTTCTTCACCACCTCTGGAGCTAGACGGGTGGCATAGGAGTTAGGGGTGCCCCAGGAATGCCCAGCACACGTCAAGGCAGGGTATCAGCTCGAACACCCACCAGGCAGGCACTGTAAGCGGCCTGGTGGGGACCATGGTGAGTAGGAGAGCACATGACTCATCAAAGGGAGCTGATGTGGCCCTATAGAAGGCCAGGTCTTCTAATTTTTCAAAGTAGTCAGAAATCCATATTTATAATGTGAAGCTGTCTGGCCCATTCAATGTTGGCAACCAATTCCAAATGTTTTAAAAATAATTTGATGGAAACACAAACATAGGCCAAATGAGGTCCGTGTGGCTACCAGTTTGCAACCTATGGATTTAGCATTCGACCAAAAGGAAGAAAGACATTTGCTGGATGCCTACACTGCCTACAGGGCAGGGTGAGTTGCCTCTATCGCCTCTTCATCTTCGAGGCAACCCTGACAGCAGGTATGATGATCACGGGCAGGGACAGTGAGGCTGAGAGTGGCTGGCTCAAGGACACACAATAAGTACGAGGCAGGGAAGAGATCACCTATAGTTGGGGCCCTGTCACTGTGTCAAGTGGTCCCAGAGGGCAACCCGGGACCTTCTCTTGGTTTTTCCCCAGATGGGCACTCCCACTCTGAGTGTGGACAGGTCAGAGGAGTGGAAGGCTGGGGCAACAAACATGGGTTTGAGTCCCTTTACTGGTAGTCACCTGCAAGCCCAGCCAGCAGGAGCTCAGTATTTAGTAAATAAAGTGGGTTCACATGTGTGTGGGGCCCTGGCTGAATCTTGACCTCCTGATCTCTAAATGAGAAGCAACAGCTCTTTCTATTCCCTGAGACACAGGAGACTCTCAAACAGAAGTTGGAGAGCCAGGCCCAAACAAGAGGACTCACCCATGTAGCCCACAGTGCCCACACGGCCTTTGATGGTCTGGCCCTCGGGCACGTGTACAGCCAACCCCAGGTCAGAGATCCGGATGTGACCTGAATGTGGGTGGAGAAGTGGGAAGCCAATTAAGCAGGGGGCTGGACCCCACCCCACACCACCCTACCTCTGTGACCCCCCCCACCCACCATGGTCATCCAGTAGGATGTTCTCTGGCTTCAGGTCCCTGTGGGGAGAGAAGGCAGGGTCAGATGCTGCTCAGTTTGCCAGCCAGCCAGACAGGGCCACCCCCTCCCAGTTTGGTTGCCTCCTAGGATGCGATGTGCAGCAAAATGTAGGAGCCATTTGCTACCAGGGTGACAGAGAGCCTTGCCCTCCACCTGCAGCAATCCCAGCTCAAGGGAGCAGATAAATGATCTATGGAGCCAGGACTCCTGGGACTCACTAGGCAAGTGGAAGGCATCTCCCATATAGGGAAGCTGCCCAGATGTCATCAGTATTCTTGCTCATCCCAGTGACAAGGGGCTCTCCCCTTCTTCCCCCCAACCCTTTGGTGGCTGACTCCACCTTTCTCGTCTGTCAAATGGGGCTGCTCATTCTTCCCCTCCTGGGGCTATTGGGAGGCTCCAAGGAAATAATCATCAATACCAGTAATAGGCAGAGCCCTCACTGCCGAGCCCTGCACGACCAGCTCCAGTGTATTTTACCAAATTATCTCATTTGGCCCCTATCACAACCTGCCAGGCAGAAATTATAGCCTCTGCTTTCCAGGAATGGAAATGGTGTTAGGAGAAGGAAACAGACTGATTCACACCTGCGTCAGCCAGATCCTAGAGCCTGGGTTCTGAGCCTTTCATGTCCATCTAACATGGGCAAGTGTGGAGCCTCCAGCCAGTGCCTTGCAGGGCTTAGATGGGCTTGTGGCTACACACCCACATCTTTGCACCACCTCCACTTGTGCCCATCTGCAGCCCCTGGTGGGGAGGCACAGCTCCGCACCTGTACACAATGCGCTCCCGATGCAGGTCCTCCAGTCCACAACAGATCTCTGCAGCGTAGAAGACAGCCCGTGCCTCTGGGAAGCCAGCCTGGCCCATGTGGTAGATGTGGAACTTGAGGTCACCTCCATTCATCAGCGTCAGCACCAGGCACAGCGCATCCTTGGTCTCATAGGCATAGGCCAAGCTCACCTGTGGTGGAAGGGACCCGAGACCTCAGGCAGGGAGCACAGGCCACCTGGTGGCTGGGCTGGTGCCAGTCACCCAAAAAATCCTCAGTGCCACTCCTGGGGGCCCAGCCTGCTTCTCAGGTCTGGTGTCAACACCTAAACCTGTCCTTCCCAGACATCTCCAAGAATGGGAGGCAGTGCCTGAAGGGGGTAAGGGGTCGGGGCTGGGAAGACCTTAGCCTGGTGAGTGGGGAGGGCAAGCATGTGGCCTGGAAGGGCAAGGTCTCCAGTCTGTACTTACTACAAACCTACTGTTCACTTTCTCCAGGATCTGCTTCTCATTGAGTGCCATGGCCTCCCCTTTCCGCTTCTTGATCCGCTTCTTCTCCAGCTTTTTGCAGGCGTACATCTTGCCTGTTGCCCGCACCTGACAGGCACACACCTATAGCCAGGGTAGATGGGGCAAATGGGAACAAGCTGTGCTCTTGCTAGGAATACAGGGGCTTGGGGGGTGGGGGCAGGGCTTGGCCACTCACCTCCCCAAAGCCACCTTTGCCCAGGACTCGATACTGCCTGAAGGTGTTTTTGGTCACTGGCTGCCTGTGGGCAAGGGTTTGGGGAGCAACTGGCTGAGCAGGGGTACGAGGCCCGTGACAGCCCCAACAACCTGCCTGCCCCGGCCCAGCCTTTGAGGAGCTCACCTTTCCAGCCACTTCCACTGCAGGAAACGGTTGAAGTAGATGCTGTCGAGGTAGTCAGCAAAAGGGGCTACACTCAGGTACTCGTGGGTCAGCCTATTGAGAAAGCCCAGCCCACTAGTCAGCCCGGGTTCTCAGCTTGATGGACTAGGTCCCCTGTTACATGCATGCTCAGCCCAAAAGACAGCATCCTCAGCCAACCCTCCTGCTAACCCATCTAGGACAGAAACACACACCCGTGCTGAAGCTGAGGATGTTACAGAGAGGGGAGGCAACCTGCCCAAGGTCACACAGCACGGGCAAAGCTGGGATGAGAGGCTGAGCAGCTGAGCTGTTCACAGTCTTCCAGGCCCACAGAAGCCCCTTCCTCAGGACACATTTCCGGCCTGTGGGAGGGAGAGGCTTACCGGGTGAGCTCCTGGAAGAGGTCTTTGCAGGGCCCCTTCTCCAGCCGCTGGGCACAGTTAGTCACCAGTTGCTGGGGGATCTCAGGAATAAGGTCAGGACCCTGGGGACAGGCCATAGACAGGTCAGTGAAGGGGGGGCCTCCTTAGCCAGCTGCCCACTCCTAGGGCAGAGATGGTAGATAACTCAGGCCTGTGCTAGGGATGGCTGCAGGCTGGTGGTGTCCTAGCCTGTCTGGTTACTGAACCTGTTCCTGCTGCTACACTAGAGGCAGGGAGAAGCAGAGTCGCTGGCAGGCTGCCTCTTAGGCTTTGTGTCCACAGTGCTGCCTGGTGAGCCTGGAGCAGCTCCAGGGCATCCCTGCCCAGGTGGTGGTCACTCCTCTCCCCGTCACTGAGCTCTGCCTGATGCTGTCCTCCCTCCATCACTGCTCACTTACCGTGTGGCTCAGAAAATTCTGCATTAGCCTTTGCCCACATGCCTTCCTCTTCTCATCAGGGGTCACTTCATACTCAGCCTGCAGGGTGGGAGGCAGAGAGGCTTGAGGTCTAGGGTAAGTAACAGGTGTGGGGTACCAGGGCACAGAGGGTCTGGGATCTCCGTCCACCTTGGGTTTTGGGCTGGGCCTCAGGGCTGGGCTGTACTCACCACCTCATCCAGGAAGGCAGTACATCGGGTCAGCTCAGGCCTCGTTGCGCAGAACTCTCGGAAAAGTAGGTGCCCAATGGGCTGCCGCTGACATAGACTGTGGTAGTCATGCTCTGCGGGCAGAGGTGGGAGCTGCTGGGTTCCCAGACCTGGAGCCTGCCGGCAGGGCAATCCTATCCACACCACCAGGCCCTGGGCCCCAATGACAGCTTCCAGCCCTGTAGTATGGCACCCATTATCTCCTTTAGAACCCTCACCACAACCCTCAGGTACTTCTACTAGATCATAGCTTGGGACACTAAGACCCAGAAACGCTAAGTGATTAGTCCAAGGTCAAACAGCCAGAAGTAAGGCTCCAGAACCAGGGCCCTCACCTCCCCCACTGTCTCCTGCTTCACACCACTTGCATTCGTCACAGTGCTGGGGTTGGGTGTGGTCTGAGGTTCCGGCCAGGCCCAGGCTGGGCCCACACCTGCTGCCTGCCTGGTGAAAGTATGGGAGGAAGCTGTGGCTTCCGGCGAGCTCCAGGCTAGATATCCTTCCCAGGCAGTGGAAGCAGCCACAATATACTCCTTATCCACATGCAGGTTGTCAGAGGGGACCTGGGCAACCTCGAGAGCTGCTCAGACCTGGAGCCTCAGCCAAGATAAGCAGGAACTGGGGTCCTGGACCCTTCTGGTCAAGGCTTTGCTGGGCCCCTCAGGACCAGACTGGGTGGGCTCCCAACACTGTGAACTGGCTCCAGACCCTACCATACCCTCTGTTCCCTGAGGTCTGCATCCCCTAAACTGGTCCTTCCTTCCTCTGCTTCTCTCAGATGGCCCCAAATCTGACCCTGCCCTACAGCCCCCACTCACTCGATCCACCCCCTGCTGTTCTGTTTGCTTTTCGCCCTCCACCCATCACAAGCCCAGGAACTGAAACTGAGATGGGTGGTATTGCCTAAATTTGCTCCCTGGACCCCCCAATCTTGCCTCTTCCCCAGGGCGAGGTCTCAAGGGAGGCTCCCTGGCACTTGCAGGTCACCCTCGCCTTAGCACCCCTGGTCTCCACCCAGGCCTCACCGAGGCTGAGCCGCAGCTCTTCACACTGGCTGATGTGGGGGAACTGCAGCATCTGTCGCCATTTCTTGCTTTTGCCTTTACGATTCCCGCCACCACCTGTGGGAGCAAACAGGCCCTGAGTCTGGCCACCACCATGCCTCCCCTCCATCCTCAGTGTGGTCTAGAGGCTTCCAGGGCCCAGCCTAGGCACAGCTCACTAAAGGAGGCACCTTGAGCCTTCCTTTTACATGCTCCAACATACCCTTGCTGGGTTCCGGGACACACATGTCCCTGGTATTCCTGCTAGGGGCTCCTGGGCTGGAAGAGCCAAGAGGGCAGTAAGGCCAGGACAATGGGGAGGGTGGAGTCTCTAGGCAGCCTGGGCAAGCCTCAGCTGCTACCTACCAGGGAGAGTTTCCCAGGTAAAGAAAGTAGAAAAGAACACAACAATGGCAGGAACCATGTAAGTTAACACCCAGAAGGGAGAGACTCTAGGACATATAGGACATGCCTGAGAATTGCCAGAGCCCGAGGGCAACCTGAGTCACTGGGCCCTGCATCAGGGCTATTAAGAGACTCAAATAAGGTGGTAGTAAGAGAGTTGGCACTCAGGATGCCCACCCCGAACACAAGGGCTTCCCTGGCCCTGTTACCTGCCTCATTTTACCTAGCTGATCACTCAACTACAGTCACTGAAACCAAGGTAGCAGCTCAAATGCCTACAAAGCCAGACAGATATGGTGAATGTGTACTAGATGGGAGACAATAGGGAATAGTGGAGAGTATGATGAACCGAACTACAGGGGCAGCTGCAGCACAACTCCAGCTGTTGCTTGGTTGCTGCTAGGAAGGAATGCTGGCTCAGCTCTTCTGATTTTTCAAAAGCAGCTGAGAATCCAGACTGTTACATGAAATAGTGGTTCCTATTTTTTAAAAAACCCACTACAGCCAAATAAAACATGTTAAGAGAACTAGCCAGATGTGGCCTGTGGGCCATGAAGCAGAGAATGGTGGAAGGGGCTTGAGTCTTGAAATCACAGACCTTGGTTGGAATCTCCAATTCACACTTTAGGCCTGTGACTTGGCTACTATAAACTTCAATTTCTCCATGTGTACTTTGGATACAAAGCCACTTCTGGAGGTATTATGAGGGTGACTGGGAGAGTTTGTGTCCAGCATGCTTTAGGGCTGTGGCAAGAGGTGGGCCCAGTTCTAACAACTCAATGGCAATCTCAAGCTAACACTTTCCCTTACCTGGCCTCAGTTTCCCCTCTGTTTATGCAGCCTTGTTTCCATCTGGCCTTGCTGAAGGCAGGTGGTACAGGGGGAAGGGGCTGCCTTCTAGGGAGGAAGCAAAGCTGGGTCCCTCAATGTGCTCCCTGACTGAAGCTGACCGGAGGAGGAAATGTTGCAGGGTACCCATTGGGAAACCCACTAGCAGCCCTCCTGCAGCCTGCACCCAGCATATCCTATAGTCATTGCTCCACTGTGAGTAAGCAACAGACCCTCACCCCAACCCAGGCAAGGCCTCCCTAGAAGGGGAACTCCTCCCCCACCCCTGCAGGTCCCTCACCCAACCTTCCATCCGCCTGCCTCCCCCATCAGTTACTTCCTCCTCCCCTCCTCCCAGCCACATTAAGGCAGCAGCACAGAGTCACATGCAAATATCCTGTCCTGGAACTGCCACCAGTCAGTGGGGCTCCTCCCCACCCTAGCTTGGTCCTCTCACTATGCCTCTGGGCACATGAAAAAGGAAGAATTAAGCAAGGGCTCATACCCCCAGGGCTGTCCCACTTCATCCTCACAGCAGCTCTGCCTCACCTGGACAAATTTCATGAGAAAACCAAGTCCTTGAAATGAACCAATGGGTCCAGAATCATAAAACCTGCAGGTACCAGAGGCAGGACTTGAACCCAGATCCCTGGGACCACAACCCAAGCCCCTCTCTCACCCCAAATATGTCAGGCATTTATTAGGTGTCAACTGAATATATACACCAAAGGTTCCCAAACCATTTAGGGCCTCAGATCACTTTGGAAGCTGGCAAAGCCTGGCCCCAAGCTGTCAGCCAACTCATGAAGGGATCCCCATACAGCCAGTCCAAGGGTCAGGGTTCAGGACTCAGAGAAAATCAGGATATCCTTTGGTTTTCATGTCCTGTTCCCAACCATTGCACTAAAAAAGATTACTAAAGTTCAGCGAGAAGAGACTTGTCTAGAGCCATGTAGGTGGGAGGGACAAAGTCAGGTGGGGTGAGAGTTCCCCAGTAGAGGCATGGGTCCCCGGTCTAGCCATATCCCCCTACGCCTCACTTATGGCCTGAAGAAGTTTGTCTGAAGATGCCCATATTCTCTGTCCAGGCAAGGCAGTGTTCTCAGCAGCCAGAAGCCTGAACTGGCTATAGCAACAGGAGGGAGGCCTGGCCAGGCTCTCATCACCCCTCCTCCCCAGCTTGCTGGATGACAAGGCAGAACAGAATAGGCAGATGCCCCCAGAGGCTGGGAGGAAGGCCTGGCCCCGGACTCGATAAGGAACAGGAGATAAGGAAGGCTCTGGACACTAAGAACTCAGCCTGCCATGCCTATTTCCAGGCAGCACCTCTCTGGGGTCAGTACCCATTGGGCAGGCAGAAGGTATCAGATGCTGTGCCAGCTGGGGGCTCTTCTGGGCTTCCCACAGACTGTATTGGGGGCATCCTGTATCCTACACCTAGGTCAACCACAGTCTTACTGTGTAACCTGGAGAATAGTCCCTGCAAAATAGGGCAGAAAGGTGAAGCAGATGACTCTTTCAATCTGGAAGCCTAGAAAAGAGTGAAAAAACTGTCATGACCTCCCTGTCCTGGAGTTCCAAAAAGAAGGGTCTTGTTCACTGCTGGTCACCAGCACCCTGGACAGGACACAGCACAGAATGGGTGACTGGTAATTATGCTACCAAGGTAGACAATAGCAGGTGCAGACTGAGTACCAGGCAGTGAGGACCAGATCTGGTCCTTCTGTGTCTCTCCTAGAACAGATGCCTGCTAACATCTGAGGTGGGAGTCATGAGGAGCTCAGCACACACTTGGTTCACCAGACCAACCCCCTCTGCCAGGGCGTGCAGTTACCGTCCACCAGCCCAGCATGCCTCCCACTTATATCTGTGCTTGTTTGCACCACTAGACTGTGTGCTTCCTGAAGGCAAAAATCGTGCCCCATTCACCTCTGTTCCCAGTGTCACAAGGCCCCGAGCAAGTGGCAGTCATGTTAGTAGCGTATGTGATTAGCAGTTTCCCCAGGTTGGATGGCTGTTCATTCATTCTCCAGACCTTTACCCTGCATCTACTTTGTGCCTGCCCAGGCTGTACGCGGACCTAGGTCCGGGGCACGTTGGAATGGGCTGCCGCCCCTTCCTGGGGCAACTTCTCATCTCTCACCCAGGAGAGGCCTCAGAGAAGCTCTCTAGGATCTCAGGTTCCACTCTTCCCTCCTCCTCTTGGTTCACCAGACCGGCTCTTTCAACCCCTCATTTTCCCCTCGCTGCGAGGGCGGTGGCCTGACCCCCGCCCCTTCCTGGGCCCGGGCTCCCCGGGGCAGTTGCGGAGGAGGAGGACATGAAGTGGGTAGGACTCATGCCTGCACCGGGTGTGGGGAGCGCAGCGCGCTGCCCGAAGAGATGTGGTGGTGGGGTTGCCCGGCCGAGCTCAGAGGCCGCGTACCCGCTTTCTTCGCACCCGGCCGCCCACCCGGCCGCCTCACCTTCCCGGGCCTTGAGTAGCACCGTGTTCGCTACGATGTTTTCGAGCTCCATGGGCTGCAGCGCCGCCGGGCCGCGCCACCAGCCGGGATCGCGCGCGGGAGCCGGGGCCGGATGGCGATCGGCGCGGCTCCACTCGGCTCGCAGTGACCGCACCGCGGCCTCTCCGGCCTCCCCGGCCGCTGCCGCCTGCCGTGCACTCTCCACCCCCTCCTGGGAGCCACCCGGGCGCCGGCCCGCCCCGCCCCACCCTCTGTTTACTTTACCCGGCCAATAATCAGGAGGGCGCTCCCCGCGCCGTCTTCCCATTAGACAGCCTCTTCATTATCCCCCGCCCCCCGAGCCAGGAATTCGCTCAAAGGAGGAGGGAGGCGGGACCTAATACGTCACCTCTTCCTGGTTGGTTTGAGGTGAGGTTCGGCCCCAAGGTTCGAATTTCTGGGCCTTCGTAGGTTACCGAACTGCCAATTAAGGCCGAGCCCTCCGCTGGGAGAACGGGGGTGGGTTCTCTGGGTCTTGTCCCAGAGGCCGGATGTTCAGTTGTTCTCAGCAAAGCAGTGATTGGGCCATCAGATGGGGGTGTGGCCCGGGTCCCTTTGGCTAGCCTAGGCTTTTCTAGGGTTTGCAGCGGAAACGCTTGGTATCCTGGGCCTCCTGCCTCCAGGCCGCGAGCTGCTTTGGGCCATATGTATGGCCGTATTCTTTTGGGTCGGCCCATCCTGGAGGGCGCACATCGGAAGCCCGGAGCAGCTCTGGGGAGAGGCTGCACGCCTCCTCAGCTGCTCCTCGGCCTCCTGCTCCGCCGCCGCTCGCACCTCCGCCCCGCTCCCGCATCCGGATGTTGTGATTTCTCTCCACCCACACGGCCTCGCCCGCTCTCGGACTCTGCCGCCTTATAAGGCAGCGCTACCACCCCGAGACGTTGGGATGAGCTCACACCCATTATACAGGTGGGGAGCTGAGGCGCCAGAGGCCCAGCGGCTGACTCCTAGCGGAAGACTAGTGAGAAAGCAAGGCCGAAATTTCACAGCTAATCAACACCTTTTAGTTCAGTATTCTACTCCCTCCACCCCCACTTCAAACACCAGGAAACAGGCTTGCCCAAACTCAGCGAGTAAGGCAGAACCGAATCAAACTAAGCTTCTGTTACCTATCCATTAATTCATCCAAAAATACAGAGCATTCGCTTCGTACCAGACACATCCCCAGCTATTGGGGAATACAGTGGCGTCAGCAAGATAGCCAAACTCCCTCCCTGCTCACATGCTAGAAGGAGCATAAAGATGATAATCCAGTATATAGATATAAAGAATGGTCTCAGAGAGTGATAAGTGCTATTAAGACTGAAAATCAATAAAGGGGAAACCTCATTTAAAATGGAGTTGGGTGCTGGCCGGTTTGGCTCAGCTGTTAGAGCGGCAGCCTGCGGTGAGGAGAGACCCGGGTTCAGTTCCCGCTAAGGGCACGTATCTCAGTTGCAGTTTTTCCCCGGCCCTGGTTGGGTCCTGTGGGTGGCGACCACTGGATGTGTCCCTTTCACGTGGATGTTTCTTTCTCTCTCCCTCCCATTCTATCTGAACAAAATATGGAAAAAAGTTCTCGGGTGAGGATAAAAAAAATAAATTAAATAAATAAATAAATAAATAAATAAATAAATAAATAAATAAATAAAATGGAGTTGGGCCTGGCTGGTGTGGCTCAGTGGTTGAGTGTGGACCCATGCACCAAGAGGTCACCTGTTCCATTCCCGGTCAGAGCACATGCCCAGGTTGTGTGCCAAATCCCCAGTGGTGGGCACGCAGGAGGAGGCCAATTGATGTTCTCTCTGTTTCAATCTCTCTCCCTCTCCCTTCCTCTCGTTCTAAAATCAATGAATAAAAAATATTTTTAAAAAATGGAGTCCCGCCCTGGCCACTTTGGCTCAGCGGTTAGAGCATCAGCCAAAAGACCGGAGAGTCCGGGGTTTGGTTCCCACTAAGGGCACGTGCCTCAGTTGCAGTTTGTCCCGGGCCCTGGTTGGGGTTGTGTGGGTGGCAACCACTAGATGTGTCTCTTTCACGTAGATGTTTCTCTCTGTCTCTTCCTCCCTCTCTCCCTTCTGCTTAAATAAATAAATAAAGTCGGGAGGCCAGAAGAGGGAGTCCTCTTGCACTACAACTGGAGGTTAATTAGGGACCCCAAAAGGAAGACGTCAATTAGGAACCTCTACAGGAAGAGACACACCTTGCCAGTTGATACTACTTTGCTACTCCAGCAGGAGGAAGGAAGATTTCCTTTCTTACTCTGAACTCTCCCTTTTCTCCAGGAGACTTTCTTTTAAAACAACTCCTTCCAACTTCCTTCTTTTTCTCTATGAAATAACGTTCCTCTCCCTTTCTGTTTAAACTTGCCTATTGTTTTTCTATAGCATGCTTGTCTTGAATTGCAATTCTCTGGTAAAATAACTGGCTATTTTATTTTTTAGCACAAGGCAAAGTAAGAGTGAAATTGTCTCAGGGTGTATGATATTTAAACAGATCCAACATAAGACATCAGAGGGCCCATTCAAGATTAATTGTGGAGGCAGTGGAAAGACAGGGGGAGGTGGTCAAGCCAGGCTCTTTCTGAGACATGGGGATTCTGCAAGCACCCAGGAGTATCCAATCAACTCCTTGTCTGCCTCTTACCCAGAATTATCTTTGTTATTTGCAGCAAAGTATCCTAAGTAAGACAGGCAGGAAGGCCCTTTTTTTTGGCGGGGGGGGGGGGGGGGGGGGGGGGGGGGTTAATCCTCATCAGAGGATATTTTTCTCATTGAATTTTATTTTATTTATTTATTTATTTATTTATTTGTTTATTTATTTATTTCCCCCATTGAATTTTAGAGAGAGAGGAAGGGAGGGAAGGGGGAGAGAGAGAGAGAAACATCAGTGTGGAAAAGACACATCAATTGGTTGCCTCCTGTATGTGCCCCGACTGGGGTGAAATTGAATCTGCCACCCATCCTGGTATGTGCCCTTGACAGGGAATCTAACCTGTGACCATTCCCTCTAAGTGTGGGCCAACCCTCTTACCACTGAGTCACACAGGCCAGGATGGGAGGTCTTTTAGGATAAACCATTAGAGAGAGGCAGTGACCAGAAGGTGCCACAAACAAGTGGCCAGATTGAGAGCAGTCATGGAGCTGCAATAAACAGGACTTGGCAATTGATAGGGGCCAAGAGGGGAAGGTGTTATGTATAACTCTCAGGTCTTGCTCTTCAGTCCATTTTCCACCTACATCCAAAGTGATCTTTTTATGTATGTATGTATGTATGTATGTATGTATTTATATTTGTTAATCCTTAACCTAGGATATTTTTCCATTGATTTTCAGATAGAGTGGAAAGAAAAGAGGGAGAGAGAGAAACATCATTGTGAAAGAGACACATCAATTGGTTGCCTCCCACACAACCCCGATCAGGGCTAGAGATGGAACATTCAACCCAGGTACATACCCTTGACCAGGAATCGAACCCATGACCCTTCAGTCCAAGGACTGACTCTCTAACTGTTGAACCAAACCAGCCAGGGCCAAAGCAATCATTTTTTTTTTTTTAATCTTCACCTGAGGATACTTTTCTATTTATCTTCAGACAGAGTGGGAGGGAGAGAAGGGGAGAGAGAGAGAGAAAAACATTGGCATGAGAGGGACACATCAACTGGTTGCCTGCCGCAGGACCCTGACCAGGGCCTGGGACGATCCGCAGCCGAGGTTCATGCCCTTGGCCAGAATTGAACCAGAGACCCATCGGTCCACGGGCCATCGCTCTACTGCTGAGCCTAACTGGCCAGGGCGAAAATGATCTTTTTTAAAGGGGAAGCTGCCACCCGCCATCTGAGATATATATTTCTAGGAATTTATCCTACAAACATAATTGCACGTGCGCAAAACAAAAAACGAATCTTTGAACAATCCCTGCAGTATTGTACAAAAAGATGAAATGTACTAATTATCCTTGGGTAACCGATTACTTTATTTAAAGGAATGGTACAAATGAAAGAACATAAGTAGATGATTTGGTACAACTTATAGAAAAGGTAAAGGTAACCCTCATGGGCTCATACTGCTTTGGTGACCAGGAAAGTCACCCTGTGGCTATGGGAAGCCAGCCTAAGGCTTAGCTCTCATCACTGTCTCCCAGGGTGTGCTTGTCAAAGAGATGCTCTGTCATGCCACATTCAGGGACTCCCAACCTGTCCAAGCTGGTTATGTGGTCACCCAATTCTTTGATGGATTTTGCTGCTTATTCAGGTAATGTGTCTCAATGAAGTCACACAAATGGAGGTCATTTTTGTCAGTGGCCAGTTTGTGCAATGCCAGTAGTAACTAATTCACATTTTTTTTCCAAGTGTAACGCACATTCCATTGCATTCAGCCCATTCTCCCAGTCGTCACGGTCTGGTTTCTTGATATCCTGCAGGAACATTTGGCTACCTCATTGGTTCTGCAGCTTCATCAGTTTCTCAGCATGTTCCCTCTCCTCATGATATCGTTGAAGAAAATATTTGTCCAAGTTCTTCAAAGCCACATCATCTTGGTCAAAGTAGTAAGACATAAATGTAGAAGGTGTAGAGCTCCAGGTTGATTTGGTAATTCATGGTGGCCTCCGAGTCCTGGTGGTAGTTCCAGTGCACCTGAGAGGGAGACACAGTTGTCTGGGTGGGTGGCGGGGGCCTTGGGGCATCTTAGGGCGCTGTGAGGAGAGGAGGAGGGCTGGATCTAAGTGGCTCACTGGGATGGGGGACAAGCGCTAGGTCTGTCTAAGCACTCTTGCAGCAGGAAACCACGGCAACTCTTAGCCAAAAGACTGTCTTGCACCAATTATCCTGAGTAGGGACTGATTCATAAAATTTGGTCCTTTCTAGTACAGAAATACTATGTAGCTATTTTTTAAAAAGTATGTGGATGCTCTTTCTGCACTGATATAAACAATCTCCAAGATACATTGTTAAATAAAAAAAGGGAAGTGCATCCCTGGCTGGTGTGGCTCAGTTGGTTAAGCGTCCAGAGGTTGCTGGTTGGATTCCCAATCAAGACACATGCTAGGGTTGTGGGCTTGATCCCCAGTAGGGGGTGTGCAGGAGGCAGCTGATTGGTTTCTCTCTCATTAATGTTTCTCTCTCTCTCCCTCTCCCTTCTTCCCTCTAAAATCAATAAAAACATTTTTTTTAAATCCTCACCCAAGGATATTTTTCCATTGATTTTCAGATAGAGAGGGAGGGAGAGAGGAAGGGAGGGAGGGAGGAAGAGAAAGGATGATGAGGGAAACATCAGTTGGCTGCCTCCTGCATGCCCCCTACTGGGTATGGAGCCCTGGGCATGTGACCTAGCCAGGAATTGAACCAGGGACCCCCTGGTGCATAGGTTGATGCTCAATCCCTGAGCCACACTGGCCTGGCTAAAATAATAATCTATGCCACTAAGTTGGGAGTGATTTTTTGTTTGTCTGTTTTTACACAGAAATAGTTTCCTGGAATAATTAGTTGTATGCCCAGAAAGAGAGTATTATTGGTAATGTTTGGTGAATAACACTAACAACTACTACCACAGATGGATTTGCCTCTATACACATGGACTTCCTCTGGAAGGACATGTGAGACCCAGGAACATTGGTTGCTTCTAGGAAGTGAGAATTAGGCGTACAGGCACTTTTATATTATATACCCTGTTGGACTTTTAATCTTGTATCACAAGACTGTATAGCTTATTTTAAAAACAATCAACCTGATCTTGTCACTCTCCTATTCAGAACCCTCCAGTGGCTTCCTGGGGATGGGCATC